TTATCTTGTTTGGTTCCATACGGCCAAGGAGAAAGCCCTACCAGCCCATGGCATTTCCAGCATTTAATAAAGGAGACTCACCCTAGGAAAGAGCACAAAGCATGCCTGGTGCTTTGTGTATTTCCTGAAATCCAAGGCATTTAACAAGGATTTGGGCGCATTTCAAACGTATGAGAGGGTCACTGGAAAAGGCAGTAAAGGGTGCGTGGCCAGTTTCCTGCGCTGCTTTCCCATTTACATTTTAAAATTGCTCAGAAATTTTGAAAACCAATGGGATTTTGGGGATGGGGAAGTGAGAAAATGAGGATAATCTGTGCCCCTGACACTTCCGGAGGGATGCTGGAGGGGTGTGCGGGGAGAAGCGACGGTGCTGAGCCGGAGCTGGAGCGGTCCCAGCAGGCAGGGCTGTGCTCCGAGCTGGCACCGCTGAGCGGAGCTGTTGGAAGCATCGCTGCTGGAGCTGCTGCAGCTCCGGGGAGCCAGGGCGGCACAAGCGCTGCCCGTCTGCATGAGCACCGAGGGTGCCAGCGCCGTGCTTGGGGTTGCGGGAGAGCATCCCGGCTGCAGCGAGCTCAGGCGCTCCCTTTGGAGTCCTCTGTGCCTGATCTTTCTTTTGTGTTCCTGGAATAAAGCAGGATTTCTGAAGGGAAACCCTGTGCGCAGTGTGAGTATGACTGCCTCTGTGCTGAACACTTGTATTCCTATATGAAGATAAAATGCATTGATTGCCATGAGGAATCTCATTTGGGCTTGTTGCAATAGCTGCTCAGGGGACCCAAAACCTGCTTTATATCTAAACTAAAGTGGGCGATGTCTCCTCTGCGTGTCCACTTAATGCATCAGTCTCTTTGAGACAAATATTAGTGTCTATCACCATTAACTTTAATGGAGTTTTGCTCCACTAAGGACTGACCACGCAGCACACAGAAAATAGGACCTGTAAAAGGTGTCTGCACACCTCATTTCCCACCTGTCCCTTCCCAGAGATCGATCCTTCTTCAGGGTAATTCTCTTACCAATGTCATCAAACACATTGGGGTATGTTCTGCTTTTTAGGTTGCCCATTTTTGCGTTGAAACCTGCCCCAGAGACACAAATGCTGTGGGCTTGTGAACATTGCTCTGCTCTGGGTATGGTCCAGCCCACACACGGATGCGCTCTCCATGCACAATCTCAGCAGGTTCCCCTGCTATGAAAATCAGAGGCAATAAACATGTATCAGCTGGTTTTATTTAAAACACTCTCCTGAAATCAGTTCAGCCAAAGGCAGTAAATAACATGGAGCCATTGGGAATCTTTTATTGCTCATCCAAACTAGCAATACTTCATTCTGCAATATGTTGAGTGGAGGAAGGGATGTACTTCTGTGCCTGTAAGTAATGATAAAGTCGATACTGTCATCAACAAAGCTGATGTATGTCCCTTTTTCTATCATCCCTTTCTCCCTCACATCCTTGTTTTTCAAGCACAGCATCCTCAAAAAAGCCCTATACCCCCCTGGATTTTACCTTCTTAACCCATCTTAGGAACTCCTGACTTTTAGGGAGAGCTTGTCTATAGTGAGTCCACAGGGACCACCTTTTAAAGACATGCAGTGACAGGACAAGGGGTAACAGGTTAAAACTGAAACTGGGGAAGTTTAGATTGGATATAAGGAAGAAATTCTTTACTGTTAGGGTGATGAGGCACTGGAATGGGTTGCCCAGGGAGGTTGTGAATGCTCCATCCCTGGCAGTGTTCAAGGCCAGGTTGGACAGAGCCTTGGGTGAGATGGTTTAGTGTGAGGTGTCCCTGCCCATGACAGAGGGGTTGGAACTGGATGATCTTAAGGTCCTTTCCAACCCTGACTATTCTATGATTCTATGATTTTAAATGCTTGATTCAGCGGGACCCTGTTCTAACAGGTAACTGGGGCTGTGTGTTGGGACTGCAATGGGAAAAGGTTGATGCAGTCTCTTAGCATCTGCTCTTGCAGAGCTTTCTCTCTGCTGCTTTCGATGGCCTTAAGAAAAATCCCACCTGGTGAAATCAGATGGGAACAGGATTAATATGAAAAATTCCTAGTAGTTCCCAACTGCATCTGGAAAAAGCAAAGATGAAAAGCACTTGGGTCAATATACCAGGGAGTGAAGCAACCTGTTGGCCTCGCATCTTGGGCACTGTGGGACCCTCAGCTCAAAGTCCAGGCAGTTTTAATAGACGAGGTCTTTGGGTGACATTTTCCGGCAAGATTTTAAGTAAATGCCTTTTGGTAACATTTGAGATCAGGTATCTCTTGGTTTCCAGGATTCTTTTCCTTTTTAAGCCACAGACACACACATACAAAATACATTAAAACGAGCTCAGCTTAGCTGAAAGGTCGGCTAGTTCAGAAGCAAACAGCGGGGATTTAGGTTGGAGGCTTTGGTGCACAAGAAGAAAGCAATGAATCTCCAGCTCTGTTTTTGCTTGAAGGGGAATATGGATTAAAACCTTCCAAGAAGAAGTAAAAGAAAGAAGAGATCCTTTTGTCATTCATTTCATTATCCCACACCAGGAAAGGGGCTTCACACCCTAGCAGCAGTGGGGTAAAGAGACGCTGGATAGAGGTGCTACGTGGTGAGGCAGGACTGGGGTTGATGTTGTCCTTTGGCAGGATAAACCTCTACCTGCTCTCAAGCCAGAGTTTGCAAGGGGTGGACCAGTGGTAAGTGTCCAGCTCTGTAAATGTGATGTGAGAACAGAAGGTAGAAGCTGCTCTCCAAAAAGAGAGGAGAGGTTGACCCCTTTCCTCATGGAGAGAGACAAGACTTCCTTTTCCTTTCTTCTTTACAAGCAGTGACCCACACTTCTGCATGTGGCTGCATCCTTCTGTGGGGCTGCATCCCAGGTGAACTCTTTGCTCAACTCTGTTCTATGAGGAATAGAACAGAGCAGAGCTATCTGCCTGTGACAGTGAGGATGCTCCACGTGTGGCTGAGACAGGCTTGCCAAGGAATTACTGGAATTCATTAGTTAGCTCCTAGAAACATGCTGCTGAGGCCTTTACAGATGGGAGCACCCAGCCCACTTGCTGGGTGGTGGTACCCTTCCAATGCACTTCTAGGAAAGGAGAGGTTTGGTCGGTACAAACTGCACCAGCCTGTTGAAATGTTGATTGCAAATCAACAGCCACTTTATTTCCAGGTACGTGGTATTTCAGTATGTAATTAGAATTACACTATATCTGTTGATATTCCTTCCAGCACTTGGCATAGAAGGAAAGTGGAGGAGGCAGCACGTGGTGCACTTGGGAAGAGCTGCTGGGACAGAGCAGAGATGAGGAACACTCTCCTTGTTAGCAGCGTGTTTGTGCATTGCCTTCATTGTGCAGAAATAAGAGGCAACAGAATCCAAAACAGAGCATGTCTAGAGACAGCTATTGATATGAATGTGCACATCCACACTGTAAAATTAGACCAGCAGGTGGGTATCTTGCTCGTGGGGATACCAATTGCTTTCTACAAGGCCAAAATTAAGTTCTAGGACCACAAAGGGATGATAACTCTTCATTATAAACAAAGATCCCAAAGGAAATAACTTGCTGTGGGAAAAGTGCTTTAGTCCAGGAGCATGGGCTTGTGCTTGGAACATGTAGCTACCAGCTCCCCCCAGTTTGGAGGTTAGGAATAGGGACACTGGGCTTTGCCTCCCAGCTGAGTACCTCCTTCAGACATCACTTATTTCACCTTCCACTTTCCTTCCTCAGGATAAATATTCTTGATCCATCCCTAGAACCCATCCAAGGACCAGGAACAATGGGTGAGACCAGCTGGGAACACCAACCCTGGTAAACTTCTCTCAGCTAATAGAAAATTCATAACAGAAGCTTTTAAATGAAAGGAACACTGGTGTTAAGGGATTATTAGTCATTCTTGAAACCAGTGTGGGATGAGTACCGGAAAACATTAATCTTCAAACTTGTAAGAATAACATGACAAAATAAATCAGATTTTGGATAGTTTTTCATGGTGATCCTATCGGGTGGATTTAAGAGGAGGAAAGTTTGGGGGAATACTGGCTCTTGGTGGAAAGCTCACTATTTGCACACAGACGTGATTTGATTGACTGCAGGATTAGACATCTTGTATCAAATAGGCAGTCAGCAGGACCGCAGTGAACATAGAGCCTACTGACTACTGGGGACCAGGTAGTCAACATCTGCTGATGAATGGGATAAATTATGGCTGTCTTTGGTTAAATCAGTGATTCTCGGAATGGGATTTTCCTACATCTCCTCTGTGTGTTCGTAAAGATTTTATCAGGAAGATAACTGAGTGGACAAACAGCTCATTGGAACCGCACAGGGTGCTGGCTCCATGCCCCAGGCCTGAAAGGGCAACCTCACCACAAAGGGCTCATCCTTCAAGGGTAGATATTTGTAGGTGTTTTTTTCCCTCCTTTAAATGCATTTCTCCTAGCAGCAGCTGCAGGTGTGAGCGCCTATTTAGGGACTAGGGGGATACACGGATGTCCAAGTGTGATGGAGCATCCCTAGTGCCTCTCCTCTCCCCGGTGGAGGGGGTGTCTGTGCTGGGACCCCCCACCAGCCCCTTCACCAACCCTCACCATGCCCCTGGGTCTGCCTGTGCAAGGGATGGACACCCCGATCCCCAAAGTGGAGAAGGAGCTGGGGCTGCAAAAGCCACCTCGGCGGCGAGGAAGGGGACCGAGCCGAGGGACCCCCGGGGCCGAGGGCTGCCACTGCCCGCGGCGGCAGCAGCGCGGTCAGCAGCGGTGCGGCGACTCCCGGTACGGCTGTGCGAGGCATGGGGAGGGGGATGCGATTGGGTGTGAGTCCGTGTGTGTGTTTCAGGGTGGCAGGGGGAGTGTTTGTGTGTGGGTGTGTGCAGGGAGGCTCCTGCGCTTCCAGGGCACATCAGCGCGCCGGGAGCTGCAGGGAGGATTGAGCCGGAGCTGCTCACATCCGAGGCTGGCTGCAGGCGGGGAAGGGAAGGGGAGGGGAGGGGGCTGTTGGTGGTGGTGGTGGTGCTGCGGGGTGTGTGTCTCGCACACGCACACGCGCGGCAGCCCGGGACCGCAGGCGCCTCCTCCCCGCCGCATTAAAACGAGCCAAGTTTCCACGCCGCGGGCAGCCGCACGTCGGAGAGCGGCGCCGGGTCGGGTCCGGTGCTGCAGCCCCGCTGGGACCGGCCCGGCCCCAGGATGCACCTGAACGCCACGGCTCCTCCGGCCGTGAGCGGCGGCCCCCTCCACCTGCACCCCATCGGTTACGCCAATGCCTCCAACCGCTCCGACCTGCTCCCCAAAGTGCCCGACGAGGAGGACCTGGACGTTAACACCGATATCTACTCCAAAGTGATGGTGACCGTCATCTACTTGGCTCTTTTCCTGGTGGGCACGGTGGGTAACTCCATCACGGCGTACACGCTGGTGCGCAAGAAGTCGCTGCAGAACCTGCAGAGCACCGTGCACTACCACCTGGCCAGCCTCGCCTTCTCCGACCTCCTCATCTTCCTCCTCTGCATGCCCATCGAGCTCTACAACTTCATCTGGGTCCATCACCCCTGGGCTTTTGGGGGGGCCGTCTGCAAGGGCTACTACTTCCTCCGGGACGCCTGCACTTATGCCACGGCGCTCAACATCGCCAGCCTCAGCGTGGAGCGCTACATGGCCATCTGCCACCCTTTCAAAGCCAAGAGCATCATGTCCCGTAGCCGCACCAAGAAGTTCATCAGCTGCATCTGGATCGCTTCTTTTCTCCTCGCCATTCCCATGATCTTTACCATGGGGGAGATCTACGGCAAGGACCAGAATCCCGACTCCCTCATCTGCACCACCATCGTGGACGCCTCCACGCTGAAGACGGTCATCCAGGTGAGGGGCCGGGGTCCCCCTCGAGCAGCGGGGCCGGGCAGTCACCTCCTTCCCTGGCTCGGGTGGCCAAACTTTGTGGAGACGGGCGGGCCAGGAGGGGGAGGCCTGGAAGGGGGAACCGGGTCGGGAATGAGGGTGTCCCGGGCAGCCCCGGTGGGATGGACCGGCGCGGGGTACGGGCAGGCGGGATCTGGGGGAAGAGGGGGGACCATTTCGGCTGCTCCTCCTCCCACATCCCCTCCGGCACCACAGCGCTGAGCTGAGATCCTGCACCGGGGTCAGTCCTGCCCTGAGGTTAATCCGGACCCGGGCCGGTGCAGCCCCACCGGAGCAGCCGGGCCCCTCTCTGCCGCGCGGCCGCTGTTTCGGAGTGGGGATGCTCGGGTCTTCCCCAAACGTGGCAGTTCAGAGCCAGAAAAACCCATAAATCTCCACCCTTTCTCTGCATCTCCTTTCCTTAAGCTGGAAAGTGGCCAGCAGGATCGAGGACAATAAAACCATCTCCCCCCTTATCCCAGTTTCTTGTGTTGAGCCTATTTCCCCTGTCTAGTGGGAGATCCCCACTTCAGAAAGTTTTGGAAGCAAGATGTAGAGTAAGCATCCGAAAAGGAACTGCATCTTCAAAGCCAGAGGCTGGTATTTTTGCTGGTTTAACTCACAGATCCCTCCTGAGTTCAGAAAGGCTTTTCTGGTCTCCACACACTGCTGCACCTAACACACCCATGCATGGGAAGGGTTTCAGCATCAACACTTGCTGTGCTTCAGTGCTCTGAGGGGTTGAGGCATTTGTTCAGTGGAGCATTAGGCTTGAAAAATGCAAGAGACATGGAATGAGAGAGGCAGAAAGAGCAAAGACATCAACATCCACAGTCCCTTTGCTGCCAGGCTGGCATGTGATAGCTTCTCAATCTTTTATCTTGTACATGAATTTCAGCTGGGTTTAAACAGCAGCCAGTTAGAATTTAAAGCTGCAGGTGCACTAAAGCCTTTAAAGTGTTCCCACAGTTTACTAGGTGGTCTTTAAGGTCCCTTCCAACCTTAAGGATTCTATGATTAAAGGGAGGGAACTTAAAAGGAAACTAATCAGAGCAACTTTTCCCACTAAAAAGCAGTTGAGAGCACACATGGTTAGATTTAAGCCCAGAGCCTGGGGATGTTTAGAGACGTCTCTGCAAGTTTCTCCCTGTACTGCTTCCATAACCCAAAATCCAGCCCGTAGAGAAGCCCTGGGTTCCCTCTGTGCCTTGTCTTGATACCAAACTTTCATCTTTACATGCTGGGGGCTACATTTCTCCTGTAGGTGCTTTGTAGATGTTGCCAGTGGCAGCCCAGTATACTTAACCCAAATCATCTGCTCTCTGAGGAGGTATGAGCCATCTGATTTGAGAGCAATGTGGCTGAAATGCATTCTTCCCAGTCATCTTCCCCTCAGTTTAAATTGATGTTCATTGTTACCATGGTAGGGCTAAAACCAGAGGATTATTTCCTAGCCATGTCCTTGGAGATTACATCTTAAGAAATTCTTGACATATTTTACAGTCTGGCTATTATTCAGGCTATACCTTATCCTGTTAGCCAAGTAGGCAGCTATGAATGCACAGTAAGTGAAGCTCACCTGTGGGCTTTTCCTCATCCATTTTACTTCTTGATTATTATTGCTCTTATGAATAAATTCAGAAGTAAAAAGGAAGAGGCAGCTGCTGGGGGAGAAAGCAAGCCAAACCCTTGCATACTGTTCCTTCTCAGGGGATCTGGCTACAGAAGTAGATTTGCTAAGATAGGAAGGTTGTTTAATGGCTTCGCTCCATTCCTCTGCGTGCAGGGAAGCAGCACACAATGCGATGCAGGGCCCTGGGCTGGGGAAAGCTCAGGGTGAATAAGCAAAGCAGCTGCAAGTCAGGTTTGAAGCGCGTTAATGGAAAGCACTGCGCAGCGTGCGAGCGGGCATTCGCACATTGGAAGCTGTGCAGGGGGTTAGAAAAAGGCAAATAATGGAAGATCTGTGAAGGAAAGGGCAGTGGTAGCGTGGAGGGGGCAAGCAGAGGGCTCGCTGGTTGGAAACCTGGAGCCCTGGTCTCTCACAGTGGACTCAAGCTGCTCGAGGTGTCTTTGCATCTCTTCGCGTTCATTTTCTGCCTTTAGATTAAGCAGAGCAATGATGCACTTGCTCGAGCTGGCAAATCACTGGTAATAAATCACTCAACGTATTTCACTCCTCTTCCTGTTTGGCAAACTGTCTAAAGCAAATCGGGGTTGTTTTGTTGTGGTTTTTTTTTTGGAAGCCATTAGTCCTCTAAGAGGTTTTATTTGTTGGCTGATTGAGAGCCAGTCCCAGAACAGAGCAATTGTAACCATTTATAGCCCCAGAGCCCAGTGTGAGCTATGGTTCTGGTGGGATCATCGCAGGAAAGCACTCCTCCCTGGACTGGAACAAGCTTTCTGGGATGAACGTTTGAGTGTATTCATTGAACGTTTCTGATTTTGAAACATTTCCTCTGTATTTGCTTTGAATATTGAAGTTTTAATGGGCATTCCTGAGTGAAACTAGACTGCTGAACAGCCAGCTTTCCCTATGAGAAAATAAGTAACTCTTCAAACAACACTTCATGCTTTGATTCTTGCCCATATTCCTTAACTTGCACCACTTAACCTTCACAACACCTCTAAGAAGTAATTACTGATATTGAAGCAATTGCAGATTGCTCAGAGCAGCACGTAGTGATAAGCAATAGGTGGGATGCTCTGTTGGGTGTCACTGTGTGTCACTGAGGTCGGTACATCCAGGCATGGCACATCTCACCTCATGCCATCAAGCTCTGCGTGACCTCTGATGCTTTAGAGAAGTACCATTTCCCAGCTTTATTGTTATCCTTGAAGCTGCTTAAAGCAGCCTGTGAGTCTGGTTTATTATATATTCCTCATCGCCAACTCGCCTGTTACTTCTGTCAGTCGGGGATGTCTGGTTTGAATATCGGCATCAGCGTGGGATCTGGTAGCAGGAATAAGTCCATTATAGCCACATTATTTAGGTCTAGTTAACACTTTGACTGTCAGGCATTCTCTAGAACACTCTGCAGCCAATTTTAGGTTGGGTTTTTTTTTTCCACACAAATTGAACACCTCTTCAAGCCATCCCCATACAAGTAAATTCATGTTTTCATGCCACTTCAGCTGGAGGAGGTTTTAAAGCTGCTCATTGTGGCAGCAAGAGATAAGAGAGCTCCAAGGCAGCATGAAATGCTTCCTCTGTTCACTTGCAGGTCAGTAGCTGTGGGTTTGGTTACATCCCAGCCTTGCTGTTGGCTATAGGGCCAGGTCCCCTGACCCTGGAGCCTGCCAAGTGTTCCACTCCACCACATGCAGCATCACACACTCAACACCGCTTCCCAAAAGCTCTGCATTTTAATGGCCAGATGGCTCTGCAAGTCAGTTTTCCTTTGTTGCTTCTTTCTTACCTTCATACCCTCTTTTCCGGATTGGTCCTTCGTGGACCTGGGGAAAGAGGGGAAGTTGAAAGAAATACCTGGTGCGCCATCAGTCCCAGGGCAGTCAGGCAACATCTTGACCTAAAATCCCAGGATTTTAGCTGAGCTTGGATTTGGCACATAGATGAGGGGAGCCTGGGTACGGGCAGTTCTCTGGCACCCCATAATTCACAGGACAGAGGGGGATGTCTTTTCCCACTGGCACGCTGCAAAATGTCCCCTACGTTATGGCAAGCGCTTGGGTAGGTAACGCTTCACACATGCTAATGTTTGATTTGCATGGACATCTGGTGTGAACCCATTTATTAAAACACATGGCCCTGAGCCTCCATAAACTGTCACAGCTCCATCATCTCCAAGCTGCTCATTTGCCAGGGAAAATTCTTGGGAAGTGCATTGGGAACTTCTCTATACCTCAAACGGGTTTGGGTGGGCAGCTCTTCTGCTGCAGTTCTGCTCTGCATCAGCCAGCCCATGTGTGGCTGCAGCCTCCCTTATCCCTCCACATATTTAATATGTCTTACGAAGCCTGCTCATAGTTCAGGAGATTTGTAGAGTAAATAACTCTGCACACGAAACAACTGCTTGGCCAAGGAGGTCCTCTGCTTTATTTCTTCCTATGTTCCTTCTTGTGATGCCTTTGAAGGAATGCGCCAAAGAGCCCCAGGAATGAAGGAGAAGAAAGGACCAGGAGTTGGAGCTGGTTCAGCTTGGCCTCTCAGCATCCATTAACTAAGCTTTTTACACTCTTCCAAGGACATATATTCAATTCCCATTTGCCTGAGAGGCCCACAAAGTTATTAATTCCATGCGTGATGTTGCAAATGCTCCCTTACACTGCCCTGCGGTGAGGAGCACCTTGGAAGGGTTGTGATGAGCTTTCTGCCACAATGCACATGGCCGGTGCTGTGGTTGGCAGGGCTCTGCCCACTGGCAGATCTGTGGTGCTGTGTAAATAAACACGACAAGCATCTCTCTGCAGTACATGTAAACAGCAACCCATAAAGCCAAATGGCTGAATTCTCTCCAGGTTTGTTGGCAACTCATATCCAGGATTAGTCAATGGCTTTAGTTCAGGAATCCTGTGTTTATACTGATGTTGACTAGAGGAATTGCTTTCTTTTCCTTAGGTCACAGCCAAATTCCTACTATGGCTTTTAGTGACGGTACTGTTTTAAATCAGTCACTACAGCTCCACGCAGTGATAATCCCACCCATGGCCCTGGCTGATAAAGCTATTTTGGCTACACACACACAGGACCTCTGGAGAGAGACTCCCAGCCCAGTGGGGATGCCCACCTGTGGTGGTGTGAGCATCCCTAAAAAGCTGCCTTTTTCCAATGGACACAGGGAACTCAGGGCTTTAGTTCAGTGCATGCACATCAGCCTAGGCTGTCTAATCCCAGCCCGTTTACACTGTGGTCTGTCTTGCAGCTAGATCTAAATTAAATAAACTCTTGTGTTCATTGCTTTACATAACCACTTGGCCTGCTGTGGTTTGCCAGTTCTTACATA